TCTCGCTGCATCAATTTGTAGCCCGAATTATCGCGATTGTTATCCCTCGTTACAATCGATCCCAGTCTCCCCTAATGTTATAATCGCGAATGAGAATGGACGTTTGAATCTTTAATGCGACGCAAAGTTCAAATGGCGTTGTGCGGCTGCGGATAATCTTTATCATTTATGCGCCGCATGCGCAGGAGTAGATTACGTTAGAGGATGTAATGAGTTTTAGAAGATAGAAATGGTGAATGCGAGTTTTATTATCCTTTCGTCGCATTTTTTGAATTTCAGCCGCGGCATATCCAGGACTGTATCCTGGAGGATACGTGGCAGCGATGGCCGCCGCCGGCGTTTCCCTCCACGGACAACCGGCCTTCTATCACGCCGGCCATCCTTATCAAATAAATCCGAATAATCCGGGAATGGGCCCGATGGCGAAGCGAAAACGCCGTCATCGAACGATATTCACGGAGGAACAATTAGAACAATTGGAGGCTACCTTCGATAAGACGCATTATCCCGATGTGCTCTTGCGTGAACAACTGGCCCTCCAGGTCGACCTTAAGGAGGAAAGAATCGAGGTTGGTCAAATTTCTCACGTTTTACATTTTATTATACACGATGCTTCTCTGTTTTTTGTTTTTTTTTTTTTTCTATCTAAGTTTACCCGGTTTTTTTTTTTTTTTTTTTTTTTTTTTTTTTTTTTTTTTTACTTTAATGATAGATACTTTGATGAATTTAAAGTCGGTTGTGCGATATCGATAGTAACCGTCGCGACTTGTCAAAATTCGCCATTAAAATAAATTAGTAATTAAATATCATTTTTTAAATTAAAATTGAATTTATAGATCCAAACGGATTAAAATAAAAAAAAATAAAGTTCCGTTATTTAATTATTAAAATTATAGTTGAGATATAAACTTCTATATCTGTTCTGTCACGCTCCGGTCGAAATAAAATTAATCATCACATTAGGAATTAAATATGCTAAGAAATTAAAATAATAAATAGTAAAAAGAACGAGAAGTGTATTGAGACAATATTTCTCGTACTTGTGTGTTCGCGTCCATCGTCGTTTTCCGAAAACAAGAAAACCGACTACCGTTTCTCACCGTTCGCGGCCGAGTTACGTTGTGCAGCAGCCGGTCTTAAGCTGCCTCCCGATGACAAATTACTTTCTCGAGCCGTGAACAGAATATTGGGTTTCGGATTGACAAACATTGACCGTCCGGATGGGTCCGCACGCACAATTTGTAATGTAATGTCGGCAAACTCTACGCGCTCGCGCGCCGCAGCCGCCGTTCCTGAGTGGGATGAAACGGCCCTGTGTTTGTCGTCCTAATGCATAAAAGCCCCTAATATTTTAACGCGGCCATTAAAATTTACCGCGGCGGGTATTTATCGGGGTACTCGGTCGACTTGAGCTAACAAGTTGCATGCTAGATTAAAAGCTTTAGCGATAATGTGTTTACTTCAATTATACATACATACGATCGTACGAGCGAGCTTTCGCTGGCGCGGAGTGCGTGCACGCACACGCGTGTATCGGATAGCGCGCGCCTCGTGCAATTTATAATTTCTATAAAATGTGGTGTATACTTTCCATGAGTTAATGGGAGAGAGAGAGAGTGGGAGCTTTTTAAACGCGCGACGCGCGTTTAATTTCGTATAAATTTACCTTTCAATAAAAAATCGCGCGGTTCATTGTGTCGCCGAATGAGTGTTATTTTTTTAGTAATTAACGATCTCGCTTCTCAATCTGCCGTGATAAATGTTATATTGTAATCTCTGTGATTTTTACGTTACATACGCGCACAGTTAAAAAGCAGAATCCTATTTTATATATTTCGATATTCGTTTTGACAAGATATTTATACCGATTTCAATTTTCAAGTATATATATTATTAGATGCAACGTACGAGAGCGAAGAATTAGATACGGGATTACGAATTACGCGAGCTGTGTCATAAAGTAACCCGTCGTGGTATCCGACACCTGACGGAATCCCTGACGACCGGCGAAGATTCTGTCGAGTAATCACGGATTTTATGTGAGAATCATTGACACACTCGCGCGTGGGACCACCCGCGTCGTGTCGGCTTTGCCAAAGAGAAGGTCTCCCGAATCTCGAGAGTGTTTAAAGACTGGAACAACATATACCTGCGTCTGGTACCGGGGGCCGAATCTCGGAGCGAGAGAGTCACGGTGTTTGCACAGAATTAGTAGAATAGCGACTCTTGTACGCTGCGTTCGCGGTAGTAGGAAACGGGGAAGCGAGGGCGGGGGGAAGCGAGCACAGAAGAGGACAAAGAAAAAACTAGGAACGGGTCAGGAAAAACCTAAGGCAATGTTTTGTGTACTTCCAAGATCGTCTCGACTACGATGTTGAATCCGAAGGTAGACGTCTCGTAAACTATCGATGCCCCCATCACATTTTATTCAAAAATAGATCGATATATGTATAAACACAGATAGATAGGTGATGATTTAATTAGCGTCACGTCTCTATGAATATTAATAGTATTATTAAAATTGCCGTTGGCAAGTTTACACGGGACATTTCGAGGGTCTGCGTGAAATGACACACGCGTTCACGACAGATTCAATCTCGCGTCTCGTGGAGAGTTTACGAGATACAGTGATCTCGGTTAGCGAGGAACTCTTTAAAATGAACGAGGGTCGAGCTATTACAATAGCTAATGCAGCAAAACGAGCGAGCGAGTAGGGGTGGAATATTGATTGTCGGTTTTCATTCGAATTGATTCAGACAGGCGTGAGGAACAAATGCGTATTCCGAGTGCAGCGGGAATTCGTTTGATGTACGTCTCGCGTCTTTTCTTACTTCATTAGATAATATGTCGCAGTACACGCGTTGTACGTGTGATGAATCTTGCATAATCACGAATTTAAAAAAATTCTACATTTATCGGAGATTCAACTGTTGACTTTACCAGCAAACACAATCGTTTTAATTCGTAATTATATGATATTTTAAAACTGATATCATTACGTCTTTATTTTTGAAAAATATGCAATTATATATTACTTTGCAATTTATTTATATTACATATAATTTTCTTTTCGTTTTACATTTTATTATACGACTACGTCGTTTCGCTTTTTTGCGGATAAAAAAATTAATCCTATTTAATCCTTCATTTGATTATATTGATCTCAAGCAATATGATTTCTTATCTATTAATATTAGCTTTCAATTTTTTTCACTAATGTAAAAAATAGCATGTAAAATGGCTTGGAAAAAAATACAAAACTATATTTTTCCCCTTTTTATATTATCTCTCTCTTTCTTCTCTCTTAGAAAGAATTATTTAACTTTACGCTACTGAATAAAGGATTAATTCAAATTTCCGTCTAATTTAAACGATCCGTCGAAACGTGCTCATTTCAGGTATGGTTCAAAAATCGTCGCGCCAAGTGGCGGAAGCAGAAGCGAGAGGAGCAGGATCGTCTGCGGAAGCTGCAGCTGGAGCAGCGTCAACGCGCCGACGACGGCGGTGCCACGGCGACGGTGATGGTGGGCGATCGTTTGAGCTTAAGCAGGCAACAACAACAGAAGCTGGAACAGGACACGGACAGCTCCGATCTCGAGGTGGCGTAGTGCGATTATATGGACGAGACGAGAAATTTCGCTCATCGATGGGTCGAGGAAATTGGAAATGATGACCCGGCGCTTTCGCGCTCTTATTAACAATGGGCAGCATGTATATACGTAATTGCGTTGTAAATATCACTGTAAATATGAGTAACGATGGATGTGTACGATACCGAAATAAATTATTGCGTCGGAGCAAGAGACGGCGTGACGTTTGATCTCCTTGCAGACGCATCTCTCTGCAAAAGGTACATTCTCTCTCTCTCTCTCTTTCTCTTTTTCTTTTATTAAAAAAATTAGTTTTATAATATTAAACATGAAATGACAATTCTGGTATCTGCAAGAATATAGTCCGTATATATCGTTACATATATATATCCCCTCACCGACTATATATATTTGAAAGTTTTATAAATTTAATTATATCGCCATATGTTTCCTTTTACCTCCAATTCTGAATATGTTAACGATTTTGCTTTACAACGATGAAATAATTTATAAGAATTAATTTGCAAAGTCAATCTCGCGCAATGCCCGTCTTTAATCCCGCGCGAATATTTAATTGCTGCCTCGCGATTTAAATGTACCTTTATTTCCGGTTTAACTAAATCAACTCAATTAATGAAAGTAAAATAAATTTAACTTAATTAAATTATATAATTAAATGTACGGCTCGTATGACTAAAATCAAATGTCGGTGTAAACTGTCCTGTGTAAACAGTGTTTGCGCTCCTTATACCGCGCTTGGCTCGATAATGCCAGTTTACATTCGCCAGTTTACTCGATACTGACATTTGATTTTAATTAAATTAAATTGAATTATGTTGGATTTATTTTTCTTTTATTGATGTATTTGAAATTTTTAATAATTAATATTCATTGAGCTTTTATCTGAAAAGGTTTTTTTATCCGAAAGGAATAAAATTTTAGTTTTGTCTCAATGCGACACACATTTTTATTAAAGATTCTCATTTATATAAGTATGCAGCGAGATATTCATTTATATCGCGAAAAAGTTTCAATTTCGCGATACTATTGTGCTTTAGCGCGTAACTTCCGGTTTTACAACAATGTTTTCTTATTAAAATCACGTCACTGTTGTGGAAAATACATTCGTACGTTTATATAAACGTTTACACGTAGCTTCGATTCCATCACACATAAATATTAAAACACGTCGATGGTTTAGGAATTTCAAAATAGTTGTGTCGAAATTTTCGCTTGATATTTTCCGTATATAACAAAGTTTAAAATCAATCAAAGTAACAAACAAATTATTTTACGCCGATTTATTTATAAAAAACACTCTTCCTTTAATTTCTTTTATTTTATTTCGCTCTGACGACCTTTTTTTCAATCAGACTTTTAATTATCATTGTATGTATAATTATTTCAGCTGTTCTACAGTTCTACTTTTTTATCCTTCCCTTCCTCCGTTCGTCGAACGTACACATCTTCCCAGCGAATCTTCCAAAGCGCTTTCTTCTTTCACTCATCCTCGCGCGAGAATCATAAGCGGGACCGATATCGACAATTCTGAGAATTTCCACGGGATTTAGACTGAATCGACTACGTTCTGTCGAGGCGATGGTCAACACAAGCATCATCACGAATTCACCGAGAGACGTGGCCCTCATCAAATAAGCGGCGCCGTGACCGTATGGAAAGAGCGGCGGGCCAAATGAATTGACGTCGCACATGTAATACGCGCCGCAAAACTTGAAGACACCGAGACAGACGCTCTCGCACGTCAGGATGCCAAAGTGATGATCGGAGAAGAGTCGTTCCAGCGTTCCTCGTAGACATTCGCGCGATCTCGCGTACAGTCTGCCGCAAATAGCCGGTAACATCCTGGCCTCGAACAAGGTATCGCCAATCTCGAAGCGATCGCATAGATACCTGCTCCAGCAGCTCACCTGAACGTACTCGGTCTCGGTGGACTTGAGCTCGGCCTCGTGCTTGCTGCGCGTGTAATAGCGATCGCCGCACACGACGATCGCGTCGAGGATCTTCGGGCTCCAATATTCCGGCGCCATGATCCTGGTCATGCCAGCGCACACCACGTAACAGGCATACGTTTGCATGCCTCGGTTCGCTTCGTCGAACATACGGTCGGTTATGTGTATCTCGCCCCACAGGGAGAAGAGCCTGTTAGGTTTCTCCACGTAGTACTGATGCCATCTCGCCACTTTGTCGCCGCTAACGGCGAATTTAGCGCGGCTCTTTCGCTTCGTGGGCGCGCATCTGCTCCAAGTGACTCGGTGACACTTCAACCAAGTGACTTTCTCCCTCGGTTCTCTTGGATCGTCCTCCTCGTCTTCCTCTCGATCGGTCGTGTCTTCGATTTCGAGAAGAGAATCCGACGGACGCTCGTCGATACGTTGTCGCGATGGTTCAGGTACGCCGCGTTGCAGTAACTTGAGATTATACAGCTGACAGCAGTGAAAGGTCACGTGGAAAATTTGAACATCGAAAACGTTGTCGCTCGCGATCTCGGATTGATTCGGATCGCGTGACTTTGGAATCTCGCGGTAGGCGTAGGCTCGCAACAGGAGGATCATCAGGTGTCTCCGTAGCGAGCTCTTGGAGCAAAACTTTATGATGCAGGCGCGACCGTTATCGTTCCAGTAGCCAAACTCGTCGCATCGATAAGGATTGTAGAGATACCAGAAAAGGCCATCTTGCCAGAAGGCCAACGAGAATCTGGTCGTGCGGAAGATGCAGTCGCGATATCGCGCAGCCAGCTTGTCGAACCATTCCTCGATCCTGCGTGTTTCTTCGTGCACAGGTACGTATTCTAGATTCGTTATTTTCTGACAGCCGAGTTCTACCCTGACTTCCAAGGGATCTTTCCTGCGTAACGTGATCTGTCTCTTTAGATCGCTCTCCTCGTAGTTAAAATCGACGTTTCGCACTACAGGTATATCCCTCATTTCTTGAATCAGCTCAATCTCGACGTCATACTTATAATTGTACACGACAACATCGTCCAAACGTTGCTTCTTCTTTACGTTAATCGTGCCGATATGAGTGTAAAGTGTCCAGGCGTGGTCATAGATGTAATCGATATTGGCACCCCACGCGTACTTGTATCTTTCGTACAAAGACACAGATAACGTGAAATGAGTAAGTGCTGCTTGTGCGAAAAGAGATGACAGCTCTGACTAGATTCTAACTCTCACGGAGGTAGAATATAGTCTAATTTTTATAGTCAAATATTCAAAAATAAACTAAATTAAATTAACGATAATATTTGCCAAAATGCACTGAGATGCATTTTTTATTCACGCTCTTTCTCTGTCTCTCTCTCTTTCTTTTTTGATTGAATCGTGCAGTCATACTTGAATACCTGAGTTGAGTTCTCGCCAATAACGCCACGACCGCTTGATAGAAGCAAAACTTCCAAGTGTTCCTGCGCTCTCGCAGCGAGCTCAGTTCCGGTAGATGCATGCCCTTTAACCCGCGAAGAACCACGTTGGCGTAGACACGTCTATCCTGTCCCTCGGGCGCGTCAAATTCTACGATGACATAATCACCGTCCACCAAACCGGGACGTTCGCCGACCGCGCGATCTATCAATAATTTCAGCTTAGAATCCGCACACTGCACTCGTTTGCGAACGTGGCCCAACTCTTTGCGATTCGCGAAATCGCTCCTCTGCTCGCGCAGAAGGAATTCCTCTGCGTCGTCGTCATGCTGCGGATCGCAAGGGAAAATGTCCCTTCGCCTCTTTCGCCCTTCCTTCTCTCGCGTCTTCAGTTCATCTCGCGTAACGCACGGCCACACACTCGGCCATTTCCCACTTTCGGTTCTTCGTATCTTTCCTTTCCTTCGAAATACCTTCGTCTATTGAGAAAATATTACGAGAAATTAACGCGCGTCGTACGTAAAATACATCTTTAGAGACACAAGTGAATGTATAATATTTATAACATATTTTCGATCAATATTGTTATTGAATTTCGCGAATCTTACTAAAGCTTTAATTGTGCAAAGATACAACGAAGGAAAAGATTATTTTATCGCAAAATGTAAATGCAATCGACGTTTATTGGCCTTACTACTGTTCGTTGACTAACCGACGGTCTCGGCCTCATGCTTCTCCAGATTCGCGTCCGTTTGCATCGATCTAATCCGATCGATCTTCGATCAGCTTGATGTTGAATCTGAAAGCCGCCGAGCGGGAAGCACTCGTAAAGCGGAAGCATCTCTTCGACAGCATCCTCTGCGCGAAATGGTAGCCTCGCTACGTTGGATAACAATGCCCTCCGTTTGTTTTTCCCCTTCGATTCTGCGTATCTACGCGATGCTTTATGCAAATTCATTGGCTATGCGTGCGAGATAAGAAATTTGCGATCAGAAAAAATAGCCGAGCATCCTGTCCCTTACGATTTTATAACGCGCCAAATGGGTCCTTCATCGTTTTCCACGCCTCTCTCTAGCCAAAATCTCTTCTCCTCTTCTCTGTCCTTATCCACGTTCGGTTCGGTGATTTCGTAATCGGTACTCTCGGATTTGATAGCGTCTCTGGTCTGGATCGTTGTTGCATCCTCCGTTGCGTCCTCCGTTGCATCCTCCGTTGCGTCCTTCGTTACATCCTCCGTTGCGTCCTCCGTTGCATCCTCCGTTGCGTCCTCCGTTGCATCCTTCGTTGGGTCCTCCGTTGCATCCTCCGTTGCGTCCTCCGTTGCATCCTCCGTTGCGTCCTCCGTTGCGTCCTCAGTTGCATCCTCCGTTGCGTCCTCCGTTGCATCCTCCGTTGCATCGGTGTCGATCGCGTCTGTCGTAACCTCCTCCACAAATTCGCTTATCGTCTCTTCCTTAATTTCAGCCTCTGGTTCCGCCTCGGGTTCCGCCATATTTCGCGAACTAAATGACGATTGAAACGGTAATTTCACGGCATAATTTATACGTCAGTTATGTAACATTGTGTAATTGAAAAGTTTCATGTCAATATAAAATATCACGTTTCCGCAATTTTGATATAACTAACGTGCGAATGTGTCAACTTTGCATTCTTTTATACACGTCAATACAATTGAACGTCTAGGTACATTTAAATAGAAATACGTACGGAAATTTATTCATAAATAGAGATAAATTCACAGAGAATACGTACATTTTATATTCCAATATATAAAAAGGAAAGAAAGAAATATATTTATAATGTATGTATATATATAATTATGAATTCATGATAATATTATTAAGCGCGATGATTGAGAATCCGGACGCGCGATAGCTATTATATCCCCTACTGGACCTTGTTCAGTACAGATCCGCTCGGATGCGATCCAAATTCACAAAGTGAGGGAAAGGGGGAGCGAACATTCGGAAATGATCGGCTCGAATTTGTATAGGCCCACGAGAGAGAGAGAGAGAGAGAGAGAGAAAGACCACAGCCTCTCCTCGAGAACGCGGACGGCTTCCTGAAGCTGAAAAAATACAGGCTCGAAGGACGGGGGAGGAGGCCGAGGGGGAGGGGGCAGCCTCGATTTATCTCGTTTCGTTGGTACGATTTTATAATTATTTTGCTGCCGGCGCAGACGAAGCCCTAGGAGCGATCAGAGGCAATCTCGACGGCCGCGAAACCCGCCGGTGACGCAAGATTTTCAAAGTGTTTATAAAATTACGGGCGCGATACCGCGCGGCGTGCGACCGAAATAACGCGAAACCGTATCGGGTACGCGGTATTCAAATCATTATTGGATTTGGGAGCCCTGCGCGTGCACGCGCGGATGACGAACAAATAAATCGTATTTCGAATGCCGCAAAGTCGGCGCCGTCGAATTCTGCAATCGGCGTCGGGAGCGCTTTTCTGTCAAAAGCAACAAACGTACAACCTCATTTGTACGTTGTTTTCCAGACATTTTGCATCTCGAAATTAAGTTTCATTAGACCGTGAAATGGATCCCGATTTTTCATTCGATCGTGTGAAATTCAAAAAATATATTTAAGAGCATATTAAAATTTCAACTCTATTGTCTGTTTTTTAATTACGTTCAAGAGACAGAACTCGAGACGTTATCCGACAATAGCCGTTTATTCAACGGACGCTATTACACGTTAGCCGAAAAAAGAGCTAACAACTTGTAAAAACTGAAGAAAAGCCTTGTTTTCACAACGAACGCTGCACCGTTCGAAAATTAATATCCGCGGCTTTTGTTTCGCGTTATTTGCAAGTTTGTGTTTTTTCCGAGGCGGTTCAAACGATGCAATTTTGTGCAAAAGCGTGGCGTAAAGTTTTTAATGAAATGACAACGTATGTAAAGTATAGAGTAGACTATAAAGCGTGTATGTCTCGTTCTCGCGTTAAAACGCGGCTCGTCTCGCCGATTTTTCGCTCAAAAGATCCGACGAAAGAGCTTTTCCGTCGGAGCTATTTCCAAGAGCGTCTCGTGGGAATCCCGACATTGAGCAAAGTCGAAGTGGAATTCGAGAATCGGAGTCTGATCCTTGCCATCCGGGGCTCCGCTACATCGGACAGAAGTTTTCCCGAGGAGAATCAAAGATCGAAACAATTCCTTGTGAAAATTTAATGAAAAGTTCACGGAAAGACAGTAAACTTGGGAAGACGGATTGATTGCTTGCGCTCCGCGGTTAAACCTATCGAAAGTACACACATCAATGAATTATCGTGATCGATTATTACGCGCGAGAACTCTCTTGAATGTCGCCGAAAACTTTGACGATCCGAGAAATCGTTAAGTCCCCTAAACTAGCAAAAGATATTTATTATCCCGTTATATTATGGAAACATTATCGACATATTTACGCGCTAAGAAATTCTTTTAATTCATTCAATTCGTTAAAAAAAGATCAACGGTTAGGTAATTTATATCTTTAAAGTTTCTTTCGATTAATGTAACATTTGTACAAACATTTCTCTCGCAATCTGATGGAAATTATTACAAGAATCGCTGTGACGCAAATTTCGGGAGGCGCGATGCGAGAATCGTTCCGAGATACGAAAAAAGGAGAAGCGGATTGCCCATATCCATATATAATACATGCACACTTACGCCTATATATGTTTGTGTATAATATATACTCATTTCGAAAGGAGGAACGGGGAAAATGAGCGGGGAGTGGGGTGGGGAAGAGAGAGAGAGAGAGAGAGAGAGAGAGTGCAAAATAAACAGTGCATTATATGCAATAACGCACAAAACACCCCTACGGCTGTGCAGTCATCTCCTTCGAAAGATTCGGCCGCGAGTGCGCGCGCGGGCAATTCAATTAATTTTATTTTAATTACCGCATCGTCGGGCATACGCCGATTGTTATTGTTTCGACGTCGATGAATCGACCGTCGCCCGTAATTTTGCCGCTGACAATTTCCGCCTCTCAATGTCCGCGACGCGACACCTGTATAAATGGGCATCGCGCGAAATGACAAATTTCCCATTATTTCTTAGAACGCACGAAAGATTGATCGGTCAATCAATTACCAATTCTTCCAATATCTTTTTCGGATTAAATAGTATAAAATGAAGATGTCGTAATATCCGGATAAAAATTGTTTTGCATCCTTTCTTAATTAAACATTGCATTAGAATTAGACAACAAATTTATGAGGCTGTGGAAATTTTCTTTTGTGAGAAATTAATTTTTTTTTTCAATTTATAGAGTTTGCACGATCACAGAAGAAGTAAAGGAAAAAGCGCATTTATTAATAATAGCGGTGCTCGATGCTCTTTGGCGGAAAGGCGCGATATATCGAAAAGCACGATAAATCTGTTTAGAATTACATAACGAAAAATGTAAGTAAACGAGAACAGAGTGGCATATACGGCCGTGGCATAGCGGCGACGATTGTTACGCCAGGAAATATGCGAGCCGCGATCGATGGCACTCGATACACAGTCGGCGAGGAATTAAAAAGTCGACGTATTGAATTTACAAACGAGCCGTAATATTATTCGAGGAAATAACAAAGGCCGCACTGGTGCGGACGAATTAAGCTATTTTGCCCTACGCCCCGTATATTGTACGTGTGGCCCGTACGTAGTGGCGGAATTATTTGTACGTCATTACTAATGCGCAGTCGCGATAGAGTTCGATAATATTACAATAATTAAATTATCGTAATATCGCCGGCGGAAAAGGGAGGCGAGTATGAATTTGTTGCGGTTAAATATATAATAAAGCGTTGCTTAAACAAGGGCGAATGCCGGTTACACAAAACGCATACTAAACTACTAAATAATTCAACGATTCATTTTCGATATAGAATTTAATCATCCGCGTAAAAGCGAGACATTGACGCTTCGCAGCGGCATTAATCCAATGGTCGCTTTCTTATCCAGCTCGGGATCCGCTCGTAATCCACGGATTCGAACCTTATTGTGCTCGACCGTACCTCAACCGTGATATAATAAAGACAGTGGTATATAATTTCAAATAGACCAAAAGAAATATATAAGTATACAATTCTAATTTATAGCCTGTACTGGAAAAATTGTTGTTGAAAAAAAAATATATATATTCATATATATTCTCTTTTCTAATAAATTTCTAGAATATATAAAGTTATTTTATATATCAATCTATTATCAAGTCTCTTCTTATCTTCGTGCTATAAATTAAAAAGACTTCAAATAATTTGAAAATGTTTGAATCTAAATTCTTATGTTTTCTTGTCTTTATAAACGTCACTTGGCCTGAAAGACACTTGAGAAATATGATTTTAATACTTTCTCTCTATCAATCAAGCTTTATATTACACATAGCTATTATACATAGAATGGAAGATTCGACTGTTCACGAGCTGAGTTAATTACGCAAATATTCGCGTGATGCATAGTCAAAGTTCGTGCCGTGGAAGCTCGAAACGTTCCCAGGAGAGATTTGCACGCGACAAACCACCGGAGACGAATCCGAGAGTCCCGGAGTCGGAAGGATCGTTAAACGCGCGGGTTATTCGTGTCTTCGGACTCCTCGTCGTTCCGTTCGTCGCGTCTCCGTGGCCGGGGGGGGAGGAAGAAAGGATGGAGAGAGAATGAGGAGGGGGGGAGGAGGGAAGTCCTTTTAATTACCCGACGTTAAATTCTTTATCTGGGTGAAACAATGTGGCGGGCCCGTGTTTTCAGATCAAACAAACCCCATGTTGATACGCGGTAATAGAATAATCTGGCAGCTGATTCCGGGGATATAGCCCGCGGGGATAGAAACCCACACGATTTCTGCACCCGGTCTGTACGTTACCACA